CATTACATTCATATACCACAACTTGTTCAGCCATTCCCCAACTGATGGGCAACCTCTCAATTTCCAATTCTTTGCCACCACAAAAAGAGCTGCTATAAATATTTTTGTACATATGGGTCATTTTCCCATTTTTATGATCTCTTTGGGATATAGCCCTAGAAGTGCTATTACTGGGTCAAAGGGTATACGCATTTTTATAGGTTACTACATATCTTTGTGCACATCTTTGACCCAGAGACTTCACTACTAGGTCTATATCCCAAAGAGATTGAAGAAAGAAGAAAATGATATATATGTATAAAAATATTTATAGCAGCTCTTTTTGTAGCAGCAAAGAACTGGAAATTAAGGGAGTGTCCATCAATGGGGAATGGCTGAACAAATAATAGTATATGAACATAACAAAGTATCACTGTGTCATAAGAAATGATGGAAAGGACAGTTTCAGAGACAACTGGTAAGACTTATATGAACTGATGCAGAGTGAAGTGAAAAGAACCAGGAGAACATTTTAAGACAAACAACTTTGAAAGACTTAAGAACTGATCAATGCAATGACCAACCACAATTATGGAGAGCCAATCACTCACCATCTAACAGAGAGGTAACAGACTCAGTATACAGAATGACATTTTTTTAGAGTTGGAAAACAAAGGAATTTATTTTCCCTGACTACGTATATTTGTAACAAGAGTTTTGCTTTTCCAGTAATTTGAGGGGAAATGAGAGTGGAGAGAAAATATTTTTTGCTAATTTAAAAAAATTATTTTAAAGTACATAAAAGGTACTTAGAAATGTCACTCCTTACTTCTTGGTTTTGTAACACTATTATCTTGATTTTATTGCTTCCTATTTGACTGCTACCTTCTCTGTCTCATTTGCTATGTCATTATCTCTATAATTTAAAACTGGATGTTGAATAGGAGTCACAAAATTCAACATGACTAAAAGAAAACTTGTTATCTTTTTCCCCAAATCCATTCCTCTTCCAGACTTCATTTATTTCTACCAAAGTGATATTTTCCAAGTCTCTAAATTCATCAACCTGGGTGAACAACTCTATGTATTCAGTCAGTTGCCTTGCATACAACCATATTTTTCCTCCTTACTTCAGACCCTCATTACCTCTACTTTAAGACTACTGAAATAGACTAAGTGTTCTCCCTGTCTCAAGTACCTCCACTTTCTAATCCATTCTCCATACAGTTGCCAAAGTAATTTTCCCAAAGCACAGACTGAATGTCATTCCCCTAAGACTACAGTGCCTCTATCACCTCCATGATCAAATATAAAATCTTCTGTTTTGCTTTTAAAGCCCTTCACAAACTGAACCCCTCCTATCTTTCAAACCTCTTTACAATCCAGCCAAAGTGGCTTTATTATTGTTATTCACTCAAGATGCTCCATCTACATTATCTTTACTTTGGCTGTATTCCATGCCTGGAATGAACTGCTTTCTCTTCACTGCCTCTTCATAGCTTCCTTCAAGGCTCAGCTTAAATATAATCTTCTACATGAAGCCTTTGCTTATTACCCTAGCTGAGCTGCTAGCACTTTCTTTCCACCTCCTCCCATCACCTTTTATCTATCTTGTCAGTGTCTATATATGTACATGTCTCCCCTCACAGCCACAGCACAGAGCACAAGGCTTGTGTGGCAAGTTAACTCATCAACTGTTAGCCATACCAATTACTGAAAATGCTCTTATAATTAAAAGATGTCTTCCATATAGCAACAAATATCATATTAGAAGTGTATAAAAACATGACAGAATGGTTTTTATTATGTTATATTTTATAGTTATTTTATTATATACATATGTTACATTATGTTATAATTTGTTATTATCTAGAAGGACATGGTGTGGATGACGATTTCTTATTTTGGGGGTGATGGCAAGGCAATCAAGGTTAAGTGACTTGCCCAGGGTCACACAGCTATTAAGTGTCTGAGGTCAGATTTGAACTCTGATCCTCCTGACTTCAGGGCTGGTGCTCTATCCACTATGCCATCTAGCTGTTCTAGATGATGCTTTCTTAGTAGAGATTATAATACTGGCACAAAAGCAAGTGCAAAGCACTGGAAGTTTCAATTATCCTAACATCTTCTGGTAGTATAATCTCAAAGAAAATGAAACAGAAATATCTGACACTTGCTTTGATACTAATTTTCTTATTCAGCAAGGGTTACTACTACTCTGGAATCAATTCTAATTAACAAGGAATAATTAGTTGGTTATGTGGAAAAAGGAACTTTAGCATAAAAAATGTCCATTTTTAATTAGAAATAGCAAAGAAAAGGAATATATAAAAATGTACATCAGACAAGAGGAGAACAGATTTCAAAAAGTTGAGGAAAAGAAGACAGGTGTGAATACACGACTAGTGATTCTAAAAGTGAGGGAAAATGTCCAATAAAAGCTAGGAAATCCTTTTTAAAAATTCTCACCATATAATCACCAACCAAACAGTAAGCACTTAAGCACTGCACTAAGATCCTAGAGGACTTTATCCAATGTGAAAGAAAAGGAGAAAGGTACCTAAAACAGGGATGAATACAAGTGTGGCATGAACCTCAGACTTCTGTCAGGAAATTTAAAGCCCAGAAGATATTAAAGTGCATCAAAATTGATAAAACAAATAAAAAAGAGCTATGTTCCTCTGCTTGTGGAAAATGATATTACGTTAACCAATGAAAGACTACATATGAAAGTGCTCTGTAAATCGTAAGCTATGGCACACCAATATGTGGAGTTATTAAAAACAGATGACGTATCCCAAAGAGATCAAGTAAAAAGGAAAGGACCTATCTGTACAAAAATATTTATATCGGCTCTTCTGTGGTGGCAAAGAATTGGAAATCAAGGAAATGTTAATCAATTGGGGGAAAAAAAGAAAGCTACTGTATTTACTACAGTTACCTTTACCTATCTGAAAAGGTATCATGTAAAAAGAACAGACTTATTTTGTCACTCCACGGGGCAAAACCAGAAACAATGGGGAGAAGTTACAAAAACACATTTCAGATTAATTTAATAAATATATTTTAATCATATACTTCTTCCAACAATGGAATTTTCTCATTAGGCAGTGAACTTCCTGTCACTTGGTAGTTGAACCCAAGGCTTCTTCTAACTATAATTCTATGGTTCTGATATTTTTAAAAAATTTAGGTAGAAAGGAATTTTAAAAAAAATATGGCTCCATATAGTTGAAACCAATATTAAAAATAAACTCAAATTAAGTTTAGCTTGCTTTCTTAAACTAGAGATACACTTAACTTGTACTAAACTGTATGTAGGGTATTGTTTCTGCAGTACAACCCAAAACTATGTCTTTAGTCATCATCCCATGTTTGTTGCTGACATGCATAGATGCATCAAAAGCTGTTACTAAAGTAGAAAGAAGTGATCTAAACCAACTTTTGTCATTATTATTTATGACATCAAAGCATTATAGAAGTGAAACGGGCAGACTCAAATTTAAGCCTCCTACATACATGCTTGTATAAGGAAGAAGGACCTCAAACTGAGGAATTTTCCTCAACTTGTTGAAGGAAGCACCTAGTCTGTTTGTAGACATAAAGTAGAGCTTCTGGTTTATCCAACAGTTGGTGGGTAATTGATGAGTTATTTCAAAGGTTCCTCAATTACACACCTGCCACTACAAAGTACTACAGACTTCACTTATCTTTACAGACAAGTTAGAAACTAATGACCCCACAGCTTTCCTTTCATCAAAGTAAACAAGCTCATCGGTTTAAAGTTCTCTTTACCCACCACACACTAACATGGGGGGAGGAGAAGATTAACAGTCCCACAGTCAAAACCTATCGGTACCTTTTATTTAATAATGGCCACATTTTCTGACATAATCCTAATTAATGTAATCCCCTGAATGCATTAAAATAGTAGATATGCTGAAAACACAAAACAAGTTGATAATACTCTAATACACAAGACTAACACTGAACCTATGCTGAATTTGATTTCTTTAGAAAAATATTTTTAAGGCTAATCTCATTGTTTTATATTCAGAAAATTAAAACATTTTATACTTTAATACCAACTAAATAAATTAGTAAAACTAAAGAAGCAAAAAATTTATAAGCATAGAGTTTTGCTCCATTGATGAGCACAGCACCAAGCACACAGTGGGTGCTTAATAAATGTTATTAATTGAATGACTGACCCAGGGGTGAGGAACCTGTGGCCTTGAGGCCATAAGGGACCTTCTAGGTCCTTGCATGCAGCCTTCTGACTGAGTCCAAGTTTTACAGAACAAATCCTTTCATTAAATGGATTTATTCTGTGTAGTTTTGATTCAGTCAAAGTGCCACACTTGAGGACCTCGAGGCCACAGGTTCCCCACCCCCTGGACTGACCAATATTTCTACCACATACGTTGAACTTTCTGCTAAAGCTTTCATGGCCTGGTGTACTTTGAGGTTAAGGATCATAATAGTTTAATGAGCTATTAATATGTGGAGATCTTTCCAGTCCTTGTTCTTACACATGGATTCTAAGTATATAAAGAGAAGGATGGAGGAAACCTTGATGTTCAGCAATAGCTACTTTGGAGCAGGGTAGAAAAAGTCCTGTAATCAGTATGCCTGTCAAGTGTACACTGATTACAATTATGATAAAAAAAACTTTCTCCTAAAATAATAAAACATTCTCTCTCTCTCTGCATTTATGTATATATGTATGTATATTTTATGTATGTGTGTTATTATATTACATATATTATCTCTGATCAATAATTGGGGGGGAGGAGAAAGAGAAACCTCTAAATTTTAACAACATAGGTGTTGTACAGAATTATTTAGCCAATTTTAAACTCGAAGAATTTCAATCACTCCCACCCTTATATTTAAAACTACTGAATTAACAAAATAAAAATGTGGCCTAATATAAGAATACTCTGTAGTAGTAAAAGACTGCTTTGATATACACATATTCATTTATAAAGTCTTAACGTAGAAAAAAAATCCATACATACTTGGTTGCTCCATCATCATATGTTCCCATTAAAACTATGGTTCCATCTTGAATAGACTTAAGGAATTCAATAAATGGTGCCACATCTAAAGAGAACAAAAATAATTACATTTTTAATGACTGAGCAATTAACCCTGAAAAAACAAAAGTATTTCTTGGCACTTCCAATTAGTGTGTGATCACAGAACAGAAATCACTAAAATATTAGCACAGTCCTGTAAATAGTTTAAATAATAACGGGGTACACTAATAATTCTTCCAAGTTGATACCTTGTATCAATAGCTAACTGAATATATATCCAGGTGGTACAATGCCCTAGTGGTAGCTGTGGAAAGCAGATCAGAGATTATTTATACCCCAGTTTCCAAATGGTTTTAGGACTCTCAAGATAAGTAAATTCCTTGAGGGCAGGTACTTTCTTTTCTATCTTTGTATTGTGTGTGAAGAGGACATAAGACCTAAAGTACTTGCTTCAGGCTATAATTATCCTGTTCCAGTTAAGAGGAGGAATCCACTCAAGGCCAAAAAAGGTTCTAGATGGCAAGTATTAGTTTGAGAGCCTCAAAAAAGGGCAAGAAAAATAGGGGGCTCCCAAATCTATTACATTAGTTTTTGAACACACAATATTCCCATGGGTCATCAGAACTAAGGAAATTATGAACAAGAGGCATTTTAAATTCAAGAGTGGACCACCCGAAACTGGTGGCACCAATTATTTCCAGGAAAGCAGAAGAGAAGAATAACTAAACAGTTACATATCAGAAATTTTACAATGGCAAGTGTTCTCTGAAGACCACATTTTGACATACCATTCAAAGCTCCTACCTCCTATAAGCAACTTAAGTGCTCCCACTTAAACTTAAACAGACTCTCATACTAGAACCACTAGCTCTCATCAGGTCTGCTCTAATTGAGTAAACTTTGTAACTGCAGCATTTATTATTCATGGACCACATAAAATAAAGTTACCAATTATTTGCACTTGAAAAGACTGCAGTATACCACAACTACTCCTAAGTGACTTGTTTTAAAAAGCAGTAACAATCTCGTTTTGGTATAGAAAGGCAAGTCAATATCATCTTTCTAAATAAAGCACAAGGATAATCATGTCACACTTCCTTGGAGAAGCAATGTGGGGTAGTAGATAACAAGAGCTAGTCATGAAGAACTGAGCTTAAGTCCTGCTTCTGCCTCAAACCAACTTGTGATCCTGAACAAATCACTTAACCTTTTTCTCCTAGCCAAGGTGCACTGGTAATAGAAGTTACTCATGAGAAGAAGCTGCTGCTGCTGACCTCATAGGTCTAGTTAAAAAAAAAAAAAGGATAGACAATACCAGGATTATTGATTATATGTTACTAACTCTAAGTATGAACACAAATATTAACATATAAGCTCTGGAGTCCCCAGTCATGTATGTCTTTAGCTTAAGGAATTGATGCTAGTAGTCTCATATCTGAATAAAGTTTTTTGAATCTATGAAAAGTTTTCCTAATATTATTAGTGAGAGAACTGTGGGAACCAAACTGACTCCATTTTGAGACCTAAGTTTCATTTTCCCGTAGATTTGAGACATCCCATTTCAAATCCAGAAAAATCTACCTGCTTGATCTCCCCCTCCCAACTCTCCCTACTCTCAAAACTCACTTATCCCTCCCTAACTCCCAACTCAGAGAGCCCCTAATCTTCCCTCCAATCAGAAAGCAGATTACCTAATCTTGTATCCTGCTTTGACATTTTGGTCCTATTCCAGAAGAAGGACAACAAGCAACCACCCAACCAACCATCCTGCTTTATATCCTATTTGTTGTTTTGATGCATAAAAATCTGTCTCTCCCTGTATCTGGGGCCCTGTGCCAAGCTGAGGAGGCCTGGTCCCAATTTGTTATGCAATTGGCAAACACTGCTTAGTAAATCAATATGCTCAAAAGCTCAAACCTTTGTTTCCTCTGTTATTTCACATTTTACCCATCACATGGGCCAAATAAATAACTCATGGCATCTTGTTAAGTTTAGGGCGAAGTAAACTTATCAAAAGCTGTAAGATATTAAAGCTCTGAACCAAAATTCAAGTAGCCCATTCCTGCCCCACCTCTACAACATTCTGGTTGTGTGACCCTTGGCCAGTCACTCATCTCCTCAGTGCCTCAGGCAACTCTGTAAGTCTATTAAGCAACAGAAAAGTTTTTCTTGCATTGCTATAGAGAATTCCCTAGCCTATCACTAGGACTAAAAAAAAAGAAAAAAAAAAATTCAAGCAGCTCAGTACCTACTTCACCAGGTTGTTGTGAAGAAAAAATGAGAAAATGAATGAAAAGTCCTTTGCAAATCTTATTCAAGTGATATTTACCTATATCCATTTATATGTAGCAGTTGAAGGAGACAGCACAGGACTTCTGATTTCAATGGTAAAGGGAATTACTAGGGGGGGAATTGGTTGTACAAAACTCAGATCTGCACCTGCTCTGCTAACTTAAGAGTCTTAAGAGATCAGATTGCATCACTAAGAAATTCAACGACTTGTCCAGGGGTTACAAAGTCAATGTCAACTAAGACCTGAATTCAGGTGTCTCACCTGACTCCCAAGGTTGATCTCTCACCACCATGCAACACTGACTCTCATATATGTGTATGTATATGTGTGTGTATCTATGTCTAATTATGAGAGACCTTCTACTCATATCTCTCTATTCCCTCTCTTCTAATCAGCTGTTGAGTCTTGTTGATTTCAAGGGCCACATTTTTGCTTCCACATCCCCTTCTTCACTCACCAACCCACCGCCCATATTCAGGTCCTCTTTTTCTAATTTCTCCCTTCTCCAATCCATCCACCATATAAGTGCCAGTATACTCTTCCTAAAGCACAAGTCTGACTAGGTCATTTCCCGGCTTAAGAGTCTTCAGTTGCTTCCTATTGCCTTTGGTATAAAATACAACTGCTTGATTTAGCATCTACAATCCAGAACAAACTAGCTCCAGCTTCGTTCTTTTTTTTTTTTTTAAAGATTTGACACAAGGCCCTTTTGTGTAATCCAGTACCACCTAAACTGGCCTGTTTACTGTTTCCTGAACGTGGAATGTCATCTCCTATCTCTGTACAGGCTGACAGTCTGTGTCCTACCCTAACCATGCTCTTGCCTCTCCCCTCCTTCTCTTACAATCTTTATCTTTCTTCAAGACTCAGCTCAGGTACCAATTCCTTGCTGTCTTTTTCTTTTCCTCCAAGTTGGTTAGTCCTCTTGCCTTTCTCAAATTATCCTGTATTTACTTACCTGTTTGTTTAGATTTCCTAAAGTTCCTTGAAGACACCAACTATTTTTATTTTTTATTGGCTTCCTAGCACATTATCTTGCACATGATTAATAAATGTTTGCTAAATTATCTTTCAATTTCCTTTCTGAATGCCCCGATTCCCTATGCCCTCAATATACTATGGACTACCTTTTCCTAGTTTGTGTGTAAAGACGAAACAGTCAAACTAAGATTGGAAGAAGAAATAGCTTTTGGGAGGAAAGGGAGGCAACAAAAACTGAATTAAAGTATTTGTAAGGTTGGCATGTGAAGGAAGGATTAACACCTACCGTGCTTTGCCTGGCTCCAGAGGGCCCAACTAAAGGCAATGAGTGGAAACTGCAGACAGGCAATTTTGGTTCAATGTAAAGAATAATCTGCAAACAATTTGAGTTGTTCAAAAGTGGAAATTTGCTGTCTTAGGAAGCAGTGGATTTTCCATCAATGAAGGCCTTCCAGAAGAGTACTTAGCGCAGTCCTTGGCACAGAGTAGATACTTACATATACTAGGCAACTTAAATTACTGCCTAACTCCTTAGGGATTGTGTGTTTAACAGATTTTTGGTCAGATATGTGTTGTTAGACTAGATGACCTCTGAGATCCCTTCCAACTAAATTCTGTGTTCTCTAATACTTCTTATTACTGCTCCAGAGGACTGCTATTTTTCAACACCTTCTAAAGTTTATCTTAGGTCAAACTTGCTGTACCTTTCACTAGTTCGTTCTTGAGACTGTTTACATAGGCACGTAAGAAGGCACCAAACTGCTTTGTAAGGCTGAATTGGTTATTTAGGGTTGGAAGTCATTCTTTTTACCTAAATAATACTTCGTCTCATCCAAAAGCACAAAGATCCTGATTTGAAGAGTGAGCTAACCTGGTTCCACTAACGTAGTCTCCCACATACTGCAGAAAATGGGGTCTAAGAACTTTCAAGCTTAAGAATCCAGATAGTGATTCATTGTTCTCAGTTTTAAACTCCAAGAAATACTGGTAACAAATAATGGACTCAAAATGTTCAAACCTGATTGGCCACTAAAATAACTGCAAGCTGTATGGTAATGACTTAGCCACGAACTATCATCTGGGAGAACAAAACAAGGCAAAAAACAAAGGGACAAGATTAGAATTATAAATAGTGAAGCTCTGTTCCCCTCCATTACACGGGTGTATTATTGCATACTTTCTCCAAAATCCTTAGTTCTGTTTCTAGCCATCATCCAGGAGCAATCCCTATGAAGGAGTCACCATCCTTGCCACAGCTGCCGCCACAACTGCCACCACCACCACCAGAGCACACTACACTAGCCTACCTGAAGCAATAAGGTGTCCTGATGGCTGGACAAGAAGTAGCTCATGCCAGGAGGGTCAAATCATGGTTACCACCTCAAAGTAAACATGAACACCAACAACCCTAACACCCTGATGAAGACAACCCAAGACTCCCCCCCAACACACACCTCTGCCACCAGTCCTATTTTAGCAACCCTAAGCAGAAGGAGCAGACCATCCCTGCCACCAGTGGATAGGTAAACCTAAGAGACTAGCAATAGCAGTACCCCAGACCACCAGCCTTGCTTCCAGCTTGACACCCATAGCCATTATCCAAGGAAGCAACTCTTGTGGAGATATAGTCTAGTAACTGCCTCTTCACATACTGCAGCCCCCAACATCTCAGCAGCCACAGACAGCTCTGAAGTCCTCCCGAATGTTCTCACTAAAGTCTCTGGCACAGTTAAATGGCTCAACATCAGAAGCAGGTTAAAGTTCCAAAAGAAATATCACTAAAGAAGATGCATTACCATTTGCCTAGCAGACTGCCCTTAAAGACTACTGGGACTTTCCATGATGATCTTTACATGTTTATGTTCCTTCTATTAACATATGAGCTCCTGAAGGACAGGGCCTTTTTCTACTTGTATCCCTAGGACTTAGTACAGTACTTTACAAGAAGCAATGCATAATAAATTGCTTATTCATTCATTCTAGGAAATTATCAGGGAGTCAATATTAGAAACAGGAGTGAGTCATTTAAAGGAGTACATTATACTGCTTACCTCCTCCCCACATATCAAAGTATTCAGTGCGTAATGCTTCTCCTGTTTTTCCTATAAAGAGAGAAATATTTCAGATCAAAATACGTAATGACAGAGTTTTAACTTATGGATATGAAATTACTTAAAAAGTAGTAAGCTAAAAGTAACAAAATTTGAAGCTCTGGGTCCTAATAATCTAATTCAAAACTATAAAATGTAACGGTAATAATATCAAAAAGGTCAGATGAGAAGACGGATTCAATCGCTCTCTAATGTTCACCTTTTTTCCTCCCAGGCTGCTAAGAATTCCTGATGTTTCATAATATAGTACTAACCACTGTGACAGTCCTTTTTTGTCCTTTACTAGTATTTGTAAATGCTGCCAAACTTCAATAAACATGAGCTCATCTATAAACAAAGAACAGAAAAATAATGCTTTTTTTTTTAAACACTACTATTAATATTCCCCCCAAAAAACTACTTTCACTTCTAAGTTAGCATAACTGAACAAAATAAATCCTGGACATGTCTGAAAATGTATCTCTCACTCTGCATCACTAGACCATCAAACTCTGTTAAGCATAGAACACAAGCTTTCTCACTGCTTGTTGTTGAATTGTTTCAGTGGTGTCTGACTCTCCATGACCCCATTTGGGATTTCCTTCATAAAGATGCTACAGTGGTTTGCCATTTTCTAATCCAGCTCATTTTACAGATGAGGAAACTGATGCAAAAAAGGGGTAAGTGACGTGCTCGAAAACACATAGCTAGTAAGTGTCTGAGGTCAAATTTGAACTCAGGTCCTCCTGACTACAGGGCCAGAGCTCTATTCACTTTGCCACCTACCTGCCCAATAGTAGATAACTGCACTGATAAGAGTTAAATCCTTTAAAGTTTAATCCTATGATGTTGCAATAATTGAATTTGACCTCTGAGGTATAGTCCTGATAGTTGCATAGTTTGGTCAAAGAGTATGCCATTCACTGCTTTTTAGGGCACAGTTCCAAATTGCTTTCCAAAATGAAGTAATTCAAAGCTCCATCAACAGTCCAATAGGGTAGCTGCCCTCTGATACCTCCAACAACTTTCATTTTCCCTTTTTTTTTTGGTATCTTCGACAATCTAAATAACGGAAGGTAGAACCTCAGAGTTCTAATATTTTTATTTATTATTTTAATAATTATCATTTTATCATTAGTAATCTGGAACTTTTTTTTATGTGGTTGTTACTTGTATTCTTTTGAGAACTGTTTGTTCACATCCCTTTGACCACTCATCTACTGGGCAAGGACTCTTGCTCTTATACAATTCAATCCGTCCCCTACATATCTTGATACCAGGGAACAATCTGCTCCCAGCTTCATCCTTGACTTTCTGGATTTCGGCATCATGCCTTCTTTACTATTGGCCCATCATGGAATTTTCCTCAGCACCTAGGGCCTCCTTGCCCTAGAACAAATTACCTTACTGGGGGCTTACTTACTCCATAATATTCCTCCACAAGGCCCACCCCCTTTTCTTACTGGTAAGTTTCTCCTGGAGCTTCCATCTTGTGGATTGCTCAGGCAAGCCTGTCTTCAACCCCCTCCTGACTTTCTGGATTTCAAAACCACATTCCTGCACCAGATACCTTCCTTCTGTTACCCTGCCCTTTATTTAGTTCTCTTTCCTACACTTCCCTCATTAGAATGTAAGCTCCTTTAGGCGACAGTCTTTATTTTTGCTTGTATTTCTATCCCTAACACTTAGCAAAGTGCTGAGCACAAAGTAAGTGTTTAATAAATGTTTTAATAAATATTTAGTGTTTGTTCCTTTTAGACCTTTAGAGAAACTTGCTGAAAAGATTTGTTTTTAATGCTTACAGAATTCTACATCCTTCTTTTCTAGCACTGCTTCTGTACCTTTCCTTTCATCTCACCTAATTAGTCCTTAAACATAGCCAAGATTTTTCACTTTCTCCATTCACTAAGCCTATACTGTCTTAGGTGAAATAAAAAATAAGGGAAGCATTTACACCTTTACTTCTACTCTTATGTAATATTTTTATTGCCTTGGTTACAACTAAATGGTCACAGAGAAAAAAAGAGTTCATCCAAGAATTTCAGGGTAAAAACTTATTTTGTCTTATGGTTTACAAAAGGTTATATGTAAACAATTTATTTACCTAAGCTGTCATAGCAGCTTTAACTTCCATATTCTAGTATTCTTAGAGTTACAACATTTATTACTATAAAATGGATAAAACTGGTAAAGCATTATTACTGGACTCATATGATGGGTGTTATCCCTTGGTTCTCATTTTTCAGGTTCAGAAGCTATTTCATCAATTCACCAGGGTGAATAATTCAATAACTGCTAACCAAGTTCAAAAGAGATCAACTCATAAACCAAAATGCCAATTTAATAATTTACAGTGAGTTTGGTAAATATTTATTTTATGGATTGGTCAGTACGGAAAATCAACCTGTGATAACACATTAAAACCAGAATGTCATGTAGTATATAGAAAACTACCAAGCTCTGATAAACTGATATGGTCTTTTCCACTAAAGGGATATACCGTCTAAATAGGCCAGCTATTTGCATGAGCTAGTTAAGATAATTTTCTCCCTGGTCAATACTGGAAAAGTATTGAAATCTTTGCTCTTTTTTAATTTCAAGCACGCAACTACCCTTTGTTCTTACATTATCCCACTTCGTTTCAACCTACTCAGATACCCTAAGCTCCCAAATTTACAACATGTTTTCATTGACTATACATTAGGGATCAGGTAGGGTTAGAGGTTGATTGTCTGCTTCTTAATAATATTCAGAAAGTATCTTAATGAGGTGATGTGCCTAAAATACAATGTAGGGAAGGTTATTCCTGAGAAGAGAAACAATTCCAATGCTAGAATGTATATTCTTTTTCGTCTCAATTAAAAGAACAACATTTTCTAGTCTTTTCTCTAGATTTGGGGATACATATTACTTTTGAGGTCTCTGAGGTTCCTATATCCCCTGAATACAGGACTAAGCTAAATTACACATACCATTTACCAAGGCAACATTGATTCCTCTTCCAACATTATTCTTTACGCCACTCATTAAACTGAAGAAGAAAAAAAAAAAGACAAATTTCAGAAGCAATTATTTCACATAGTAAATACAGGGTCTAAAAATGAAGTAATGAAAAAACAGAATGAATAGCATTAAGTATATAATATATTCAACAGGATAAATTTAACATAGGAAAAACTAAATCAAAAAGATGCTTCTGTATATATGCGATGATTATTTAAAAACTTATTTCAATATGACTTAAATATAAACAATATATTAAAAGATTGAGGCTATAAAAGGTATAAAAAAAAGATCAAGATATTTCTTGATTAGTTATCAGTCTATGAAATATTTCCTAAGGAACTCCTTACAGTATATATGTATTGAAAGTATGATATAACAATTCTGCACTTGCCTTCAAACAAATAAGTGACCCAATTTACTTTTCATTTCCCATAATAACTTGATATATAAGATAGATCTAGGTCAAAAACTGAAAAGAGAAATAGGCTACACTGAACCTGGAAAGCAACAAAATTATTTTCAGTGACCCTAAGCCGCTTGCAACTGAAAAAACCGTATTTCTAACACCAATATTATCTTGAAAATGCTACATGGCTGAGAATTACATTAACACCAGTATCTCACAAGAAACACAATCATACTCAAAGAAAAAACAGGAGATAAATAAGCTACCATTTACTAATAAAGATTTGCAAAAGAAGATCACTATAAAAGATATCATTAAAGACATGAATGACCATAAGAAAATTTCGCCCTGCTCATGATGTATAAAAGTGAGGGATAAGAGCCCAAGTACTACAATGGTAGCCACAGCAAATAATTAAAAAGACAAGTCTTCATCCAACATGTCAGTTAGATCCTCTTTGGAAGGCTAACACAAAGACTTACACAAAACATTCCCCAGGATGAGAAGGCATAAAGGGATTAAGTCTGTACCTACAGAAGGAGTACTAAGGAAAGAGATCATAGATTCATTCAGAAAAGCCACTTATATTAACAAAGGAAGAGTCACTTAAGAATAATGAAAGGTTAAATGACTTGCCCACAGCTAGTTTGGGTCAGAGGTAGGATTTGAACCTAGGTCTTAATGGGGCCAAGAACAGCTCCTAGGTCAATTCCCAGGGGTTCTCTGTGAACTCCTTCGAACAACAAAAAATGGTGTGAACCCCAGAGCAATTTAGTATACAACTTATAATTTTTGTTAGCAGTTATTACTGCCTAAGGTGCGATTAAAGAATTTTCAATGTGAACCCCTTAGGCCATTGTCATGGAATTCACAAATCACTAAATGGAAACCACTGCACTATGGCATGCTTCCTCTTACATGTTTAGATAGAAGCAACAATTTGCAGTGAAATTACATTCTGAAATTTAGCTTGCATCACAGAACCTCAGAGACCAAATACAACCATAACTAAACAAGAATCTCCTACACACTCTCCTCTCTCTCTCTCTCTCTCTCTCTCTCTCTCTCTCACACACACACAAATCTCCTCTACTTTTGGAAAGCTCTAATTGTTTGGAAGTGTTTGGGTTTTGTTGTTTTTTTTTTTCCTTTCAGCCAGCCTAAATTTACCTTTCTTCAAGTTCCATTCATACCAATTAGTTCTGCCCTTTGGCCCCGAACAGAACAAGTCCATCTCCTTTTTCCACTGAGTATCCCCTTAAAATATTTCAAGATAGCTATCTTGATCTTCCTTTTCTCCTTCCCTTTCTCTTCTCCAGGCCAAACAATTCTCATATGACATGGTCTCAAGGCTCTTCATCATCCTGGTTACTCACTGTCCTTCCTAAGATGTAGTACCAAGAACTGAAGAAAGTACAGAGGACTATCATATCTAGTCCAGGGAACTATTCTTTTCATACAGTCTAAGACTGCATTAGCTTGCTTTAATTGTCACACACAGCTCATAATATTGACTCTGCGATCCACTAAAACACCTAGGTATTTTTCAGAAGATCTAGCCATGTCTCCTGTATTGCTTTTTGAACTCAAGTCTGAGACACTACATTTATTCCTATTAAATTTCATCTTAAAAAAAAATTCATCTTAAGATCATACCAAATCCTGACTCATCATCTACTGTTAGATACCTTTTCTAGCCTTTGTCACCTCCACACTTTGACAAACACTATATCCATACCATTAAGCCATTAATAAAAACTTCTAAATTCTCCTAGACACTTCATTAGGGAAGTCACTGAGAATGACAACTGAACAAACATTAATGACTGCTCTTTCAGTCTAAGCCATTTGACTATAGTTTGAAATCCCCAAAAACAGCATGAGAGAATTTATCAAATTTTGGCTTGGCTAAAATCTAGGAAAGGCATATCTATAGTGCTACTTGGGTAACTAAAAAGAAAATAGCGCCCTCAAAAGAAATAGGGATGTTTGTAGCAGGGGGAGGTGAACAAGGGATGACAAAGATGAATTCTATTTTAACATGTTGATTTTTGAGATGCCTATAGGACAACCAGGTGGAGATCTGCAAAAGGTGGAGCCCAGGAGACTGGTTAAGGCTAGATAAAAATTTAAGTCATCTGCATAAAAATAATTTAATCCACGAGTGCTGACAAGACCACCAGAAGAACAGATATTTATATACAGAGAGAGAAGAGAAGGCTCAGGACAGACCTGAGGAGGGGAAGGTAGGGGGAGGCATGAATAATGATCTAAGAAAGAATGGTAGAGGAAAACAGGTAGGAGAAAATGTCATCAAATCCAAACGAAGAATATTGAGGAAGAAGAGGTGGAAAGTAAGTGTCAAAAGCTATGGAGATATCAAAGAGATATATTGAAAAGGCCATCAGATTTAACAAATGAGATAATCAGTAATCTTGGGGAGAACAGTTTTAGTAGAAAGGGGGGCCAAAAGTCAGATTGCAAATAGCTGAGTGGTAAAACAGGAAGATTAATATGCTGAAACCAAATCTGCTGTATTTAGAGCAACCACACTGAAGAATCAAATCTTAAAGTTTGTTTACTTTGTTTCTTTGAAATCAGCATTGTGATATAAGTAGAAATTCTTAATAAACTGAACAACAAAACAAAAGGTTTGATTAACTTATTAGGTGACAGCACACAGTCTTTCAAAGATATCTAGGTATACTACTAAACGCCAATGTAATTTTTTACTAGTACACAGATGATGGCACACTGTTATCCAAACAGGAATAAAGTAGGAATATGCATCCCTTAATGTAATTTGCAAACTACAAGGGTTGTCTCATTCATTATTTGAAAGAAATCTAACACTGTGATAATGAAAAGATAAATGATCAAGTAGGATGAAAGATTTCCACAAGATGGCAGCATTTCTATATGCTAATTTAAACATGTATATTTTGCCAAAATTAACAATCAGGCCTGTGGTAAATTAAAATTGTAAAGAGGGTACAGATTTTTGACTGCATAAAGGTCAAAGTCAACCAAAAGGCAGAATTATAATTTATCAGGCTTCATAAATTATGATTCAAAACCAGAGTTTAATAACAATTACTGTATGAGTTGTAAATGCTACTCTGCATTTGTTTGTCTTACTTTCAAATTTCATCTATTTTTATTTAAATTCTCTCATAGTTCTTTTAAACTTGGATTTTCCTTAAAAACTACTAAAATTCTTACTATGATCTAGCAAAGATGTTTATTTTTTCATAGCCAGTTTACAATTATTTATAGATTAAATCTGTACAAATCTAAATTGGCTATATGTACAAAAAAATAAAAAAATAACAATAACTTTTCCTTTTAGTGTTACTAGATATAAACGACTGGTTGTTTTATTTTATTTGTCATATAATTAATGGTTTCTAACATCACCTCTATCTAGAACAAGAGTTCTTAACCTGGGATCTGAGGTTATTTTATGCGAGGGAGAGGGAAGAGAAAAGAAGGCTCCTCCTATGTACCAGACACTGTGCTAGGGGCTTTATAAATATTATCACACAATATTTTTTTAAATGAATATTATCACATAACATTTAAACCAATTTCAGTTGTTTTTGTTTTTTTTTTTAAAACCTATGTCTTTCAACTTTATCTATTTAAAAATATTTTTTTGAGAAGGGGTATGACACAGAAAATGTTAAGAACCCCTAATCTAACTTTAAAGAATTATCTATTGTGTCTTAAATAAGATAATTCTTTGCTTAAGAAAAAAGTCAAACCCATTCTTTAGAAGAGCTTTCAAAGTAGAACTGGTCAACCTACATTCTAGCAGTGCGGCCTTGGGCAAATCATTTCACTTGTATGCACCTCATTTTCCTCCTCAGAATGAGCTGACCTCCAGCATTCCATTCTAGCACTAAGGTTCCATAATGCCTTTAGGGAATGCTGGAGTGAGGAGATAAAGGTCAGGCCTTTTTCTTGTTTTACAGATGAATAAACTATCTACAAAGTCATAGGATCCCAAATCAAGAGCAACTAAGGAGAACTTAAGAGGTAACTAGTCCAACCTCCTTATCTTACAGATACTGAGCTCAAAGGTTAAGTGACTTTCCCAGGGTCACTGGGAAAATAAGCAGCAGAACTGGGATTTAAAACTAGATCCTTTGACTCCAAATACTGAATTTCCTACATAGTACCACATTGCATCCGACTGAAAGGCCAGAACTGAATCAATATTCTCTGGCTCAGAATATCCTTTACTAAATTGTAACTGCCCACACAACATTTTCCCTTTTAAAAAGTCTTTTATGCAGTAAGCACATAGGCTTGTAGGTTAATGACTACCTGATTCCTTTTCCTTAACATTAACAATCAAAAACTTCCCAAGTTATCTGTTGTAGATATGTAAATGTGATCAAGTGTGAGTCAGGCATTCAAACAAAAGAATCCTTTCTCCCCATTTTGTAACAGTCAAACTAACTGAAAGGATATACAAAAAGAAGAAAATGTTCTAAATAAACGCATAGCATACTGATTAAAGCTAATAAGTCTCCATCTAAAAATTTATTTTTTCACAGCTAGATTTATGTCCAAGTTAAGCCTGTAACTGAAAAACAGCATCATACAATTTAAATACAGTATCCTAACATATAACTTAAGTATTTAAGGCTGTGTGGTACAGTGAATAAAAAGAAGTCCTCTTCCCCATAGCTGTGTAACCTTGGGCAAATCACTTAACTTTCAGTGCTCCTGGCAACTAAGACTATAAATTACAAAATAATTAAATTACAGAACAATTAGGAATCTGCATTGATGGCAGGAATTTGCTTACCACAGTTCATTATAGAAAGAAAATCATAGCTCTAGCTCAGGGGTGGGGAACCTGGGCCACATGTGGTTTTCTAGGTCCTTGGGTGTGTGGCCTTTTGACTCAGTCCAAGTTTTACAGAACAAATCCTTTTATTAAGGGGATTTGTTCTGTGACGTTTGGATTCAGTCAAAGGATCACATTTGAGAACCCAGAGGTCCACATGTGGCCTTGAAGCCACAGGTTCTCCACCCCTGGTCTAGCCAAAAAAAAAAAAAAAAAAGATTTTTTTTTATATAGCTCAGCAAAAGAATAAATTTTATTGTATTTAACTTCATTCAATAAAAAAATGTCATATTCTTGCATATGCAAGATATTCAAAGGTCAGTGACAACAAACTCAAATTACTAGTGGAAGTCCTATAGAAAGCAGAATTTAAAGCTCTACTGAACCAACACCCTCAATTTATCAAAGAGAAAAATGACGTCAACAGGGCAGGTGACTCATTTAAGTTTATAGAGCTTCACAACAGCAGAACCTGTATTTAGTATCCCAATATTAAATATTAAGTCCTAAAGTCAACAAGTTTAAAAATGCAATTTATTGTAACCACAAAAATGCCACACCGTTACTTGATTGTGACATTTTGTTTCATTTTTATTCACCACAGTCAATTTATACATTACTGGGATGTTTTTTTTGTTTTGTTTTTTGCAATAAACATAAATATTCTTGTTAACAGATTTTTACACGCCTTTCCAAGAGCCCTAGCAACAAAAGACATTACAAAATGCCTTGATGCCTGGGGTTTCCAACTAAAGAAAGCCTGTCTTAGGTAGGCTTTAGGAGATAGATGGTGCAGTAGAAGCAGGGCTGTATTTGAAAGTCAAACAAGAGGAGGTGCATCCTAGTTCTGCCTGTCATGATCTGACTTTGGGCAACTCATTCAGCCTCTCTACATCTTGGATCTCTCGTCTGTAAAATCATAGTGTTGAATTAAATAAATAACCTCCACAATTTCCATTCCAAGTCGATGAGCCTAGAAGTTTACTATCTGGCTATTTTTTCATGTCTGCATTCCAGCATCAATTCTTTAAAAAAGCATTTTGAAGGAAATCTAGTATGCTATGCAAGGAATATGCCAGGTACTTCTGAAATTTGGTTTGTTGGTAAATGTACTACCTTGAAACAAAATGGCAGCTGGTAAAAGTTTACAAATGGGGCTATGTTTTATAATGTAATTCTATAGCATACAGAATCATTAATTATATAATACCAACTTTAGGAAAGAAACATACTATTTGGAAAAATTTAACAAAAATATCAAAAATCAAAAATATCAATTTAGCTCAATTCCATAAATAAGAGTATCCAACAAAATAATGATTAAAAATTGCTCATCTTTAGTTCTTGATGCCTTTCTTTTGAAATCGCTTTAATTACAATAACTAGAAACAAGTTTTTCTGTTGACTACTTTAACCTTCAACATTACTTAGAGATATACTCCAATATAGGACAAGTTAGTACTTTTTAAAAAATTATTAGACTACTAGCTACTAATCAAGAACATATTTGATTTTGCACATGAAATAAAAATTTTTGAAAAGCCTCAATAAATATACATCATTAAAACTGAACTAAAAGTCGCCTTTTGAAATCTCAAAGTTCTATAGCAAAATTAAATTACTTATGGTACCAAAGGTTAGCTCTGTCAGAAATAGGAACAGAAACCTCTAAAGGATTTCCAAAAAGCCCTTTTTGGAACCAAAAGGTTCCTTGCCTCTATAATATGCAAACTTTGTAAATATATAAATATCAATTTATCTGATGATCAGATTTTTAGAAGCCCCAGTCTCCTAAACTACAAAATATGGATAATAATAGCATTGCTTCCCAGGTTTGACATGAGGATGAAATGAGATATTTGTAAAGCATTTAGCATACTGTAGCCTGGCACATAGTAGGCACTATATAAACGCTAGTTGTTGTTATTGTTGTTGTAGTTAAGGAGGATGTGCCTGAGCTATATTTTGAAGAAAGCTAAGGGATTTTTGAGAAGTGAAGGGGAAGTGTATTTCAGAGTTGGGAGACTACTTGTGCAAAGCCATCAAGGAAGATAATAGTAAGTTTTCTAAACAAACAGTAACATCATTCTCCAATTCTAAAAAAAAGTTCTCTTAAAAGTTTCAGAAAAATAGATAATATACCTTTAAAAATTAAGTAATGACTGTGAAAACACTACCGGAAAACACTATGTGCATGAATTATTAGCAATTAAAATATGAAAATTACCATCAGCAAAGTTAACAAGCCTCTTTTTAAAAGAAATATTCCAACTCAGCTTTAGAGATTATATTAAAAAGATAAATTCATGATATCGAAATGTTAAATTCACAAAATTATAATTTCAAGTTTATACCAATACTTACATATTGTCTTCTACACAAATTTTGGGGCCAACGACATTAGCTGCTCCACTTGCCATTTTGAAGGCAAAATGTTTTTCTGGACAAGCTTTTGAAATCCCACATTTATATCTGGGAGGTTTTGTATCTTTAGAGAAAAGAGGTACAATTTCAAAATAAAATAGTAATAGTTCATATGAGACAATAATCAATGATTCTTCTTTCTAACTACAAAGTAGGCAACACACTAAGTGACCAATCAAGTATTAACTACATCCTTTGAATGACATACAAAAAAATGAAATAGCATAACGGAAATAAGTGGGAATCAGATTTTAGTTCTAATCCCTCTAGGTCACTAACTAGCTGTAACAACTCTAAGTAATTTAACCCCTTCATGCCTTTACTTGCAAAATGAGCATGTTACACCAGATTACTTCTAGACTATCTAAAATTGAGTATACAATTTTCAATAAATATGCTAGCTGTATGTTCAGCTATAACTCTCTGTATGTGTGTATTATATCAGTGCACCTTAAGGTTTATATTGGAAAATTTGTTTTCTCAGAGCTCAAAAAAGCTTTCTAAATGTTTAATCAAAAGGTCCTAAGTGGCATACTAGTAACTGAGGTAAGATAAGTAAACTTGACTAAGAAAGATAGATCTGAGCTCATGAATTAAATGGTTTCATTTTCTTTCCCATTTATAGACAGACATTTCTGAGTCTTAAATTTCATTTTCACTTTAGTCAAACCCAATGCTAAAAGGCCAGTCTATATAGACACTGAAACAAATACACAATTTAAGCATTTAGAAAAAAATTTTAATGTACTTGGGTATATTTATCTATACACTAACTCCCTTAGAGTAAATGGCTCTTCTCCATTCTGTCAACTATCATGCCTCTAACTTCTATCAATCTGTTTGTTTTTTTTTACAATGGATTTTAAAAAGGTCTTAAACCAACAAATATGATGGTGAGGTCTATAGTTCCTACTATTAATGAATGAAGTAAAGTGAAGGGATCTTAGTCTTTTTGTGAGTGTCATGGACTCACTTGACAGTCTGGAGAAGCCTATAGATACCTTCTCAAAATAATATTTTAAAATATTTCAATGATATGACATAAAATGAAACTCACAGGACTATAAGAGATACCAACTATACTGAAATATGGTTGTCCAGAATGTAAAGAATGGTAAAAATTGAAAAGTAACTAATTTCTCATTTGAAATTATTTTATTTCTAGGTCAATTCTGTATGTTGAATTTCACAATAGGCAAACTAACATCAGTGGAAGATATGCCCCCTAAAAAACTACACATTACTGAACCATCTTACAAAAGAAACTTCTTTTGAGATATATAATACTTACCAGTTATCTGTAGTGCTGACCTTGCTAAAATAAAAAACACACATTAAAAAAGTCAAATTAACTTCAGGCAAAGAAATTAAATGTGAAATGTATCTATTGAATGTTTAATAAACCCATTAAATATGTTTATTGTTCATTATTTCATATATATATATATATATATCCTCCATACCACAGTGAAAATAAAGCATGTTGAAAGAGAAATCAGCAAAAATAGTTAACATATGCAAAATACCCATAGTTCACAAAGTGGTATGTTTTAATACAGATAGTAAATAGTTATCATCTTTAATTATTATCGTAAATTTAAGGCCCAATCAGGCAGATATTCCATATATTAAACTTTGATTGTCATATATTCAATAGCCATCAGTGCTAGCAATAAATCATTTCAAAATTATTGCAGATATTTGAAAATCTTTTTCAAAAATAAATTCAAATAAACTAGAGACTCCCAAGTTATTAAACACAGGATCTTAGATTAAAAGAAGCAATCTAATCTAAAATTACATGCCATACAGTAATTCCCTCTACACTTGATAAAATTCAGCTTTTCTAATTGGCCAGTTTCACTGATGGGCAATTTACTACACCTAAGAAGGTATAGCCTATTCCATTTTTGGCCTTCTCTATTTTTTAGTTAATTATAGTTTATTTTAGTTTATTTTTTAGTTAATTTTTCTTCAAGCTCAGCCAAAAATATGTTTCCATTTAACTTCTATTCACTGGGTACCCTCTAAATAAGTCTAATGCCTCTTCTGCATGTGTACCCTAAAAGTGCCGGAAGATAAAATATGTTCTGGCACCTCTCTAAAATAAACAATCAGAATTTCTCTGACTTTTGCTTATATGCCATAGTTGAGAATGCCTTTACCTTCCTGTTCAAACAATCAACCAATCACATACTTATTAAAGTACCAGTACTGTTTGCTAGGTGCTAGGAATACAAGCGCACACACATATATACATACACTCACACACACACACACACACACACACAAAATAAAATGATTTCTATCCACAAGGAACTTACCTGGTGAAATGAAGCAGACAATAAGTACATATAAAAATACATACAGCATTAATATAAAATTATAAAAGCAAACATACACAACATAGTTTGGACTAAGGAAACTAGTAGGTGGAAGATTAGAAAAGGGTCCATGTAGAAGATGGTACCTGAGTTGTGTTTTAAAAGAGAGGTCTCTGAGGATGAATGGAAGAAGAGAGTTCATCCAGTAATGGGGGGTGGGCAGCACAAAGACATGGAGACAGGAGATGAAGACTTGTATGCATGAAAAAAGAAAAGGCTAGTTGTGCTGGATCCCAGAGTGTTGGAGGAGGAATAATGTCCAATAATGCTGGAAAGATAAGTTGGGGTCAGACAGTATAGGATTTTAACAGCTAAATAGAGGAGTTTATCTTTTATCCCCGGGGAAACAGGAAGCCATTAGAGTTGACTGAAAAGGGAGACACATGGTCAGATGTGCACTTAAAGAAAATTACTTCAGAAGAACTATGTAGGATGGGCTGGAAAAGTGAGATTTGAGTAAGGTAGACCAATTAAGAGGCTGTTGCAATAATCTAGGTGAAAGGTAGGAGGAGTCTGAACCAAGATGGTAGCAGCTCTGTGTGTGTGTGTGTGTGTGTGTGTGTGTGTGTGTGTGTGTGTGTGT